AGGGAAAGACTGTGCTCATGGTTAAGAGGAGCTCATGTTAACTGTTGGTCGTAGAGGGGTGTGAACTGCACCTACACTTTGTACACCCAACTATCCACCCAACCTCCTTCCTGAGAGACTTTCTAGCTGTTTGACAGTGCCACACTGCTTCTACCTTTGCTTCTAAAAGGGCTCATTATGTGCACCACTGCTAAAGGTTGCTTGTCAGTCAAACATGGACATAGGTCATTTACATTTTTTAAGAAATGACTGATGCAGTTGTTTTTCCTGTGAGAGCCTCATTAGCTCCAATCTGGAGCTCTAAAAGCCTTTTTGTGCTGTAAAGCCACCTATCCACGGGCACCCACTGTAACACTGTGTACATGCCGGTAAATCTTGCAATACTGTATGTAATGTCATGAAATGTAATTTATTCATTCCGGATATCAGTAGTTCAACCTACTGTGTTCCTCCGGATGAAACTCTTTATGTTTGGCTGCATCATAGGACACTTTTAAAATCAACTTAGCAATTTTAAGATGGTTCCTAACTACTGGACAATGCTGTGCAAGGTATATTCAGTATAACCACAATACTTGTTGCTTTGTCTTAGGTTCTAGGGAGCCAGTGAGGCAACAAGCCTCTAGCAAAAGGGTTTGCAGTGAAAAGGACTGGTTCAGAGGAAACTGGGCATTTCAAATTGGTATTCACTCAACAGGGTGTAATATTTGTATGCTTATATAGCCCTCTGACATTTGGCCTCTTGTGCCATCATGTTCATCAAGTTCATCTTTTATATCTTCTTGTATTAGTATTAACCAGTGCTTATTGATAGTGACAGTAAAGAGGGTGCAATCCAAAGTATATTTGCTTATTGATAGTGGCAGTAAAGAGGGTGCAATCCAAAGTATACTGTATGTTGCTGTAGTGAAGGGACAACAAGCATAGATTTAAGCATCTAAGTATCTCTGTGCAACAAACAAACATGCCTACTTGTTTGTTATAATTTGTAGCCATCATTGTGTAACGCTGTAGAGAACCACACAGCACTGATGGGGCTGTGTTTTATCACATTAACTATAAACCAATCTTTTACACACAATACTTTATAGGTTTCCTGGGAATTGAGATTTAGTCTTACAGAGATTACCACTGTGCCATTTGAGACATAAAGTTGTCGGGTATTGCTTTTAAGTACCACAAAGGTGGTTTGTGTGTTGTAGCCCACTAACTAAATTGCTTATACAAAATTATTACCCTGCCTTTATGGTTTTAGAAAGCTTTTCAACCTTGCAGACAGTCTGTTGTTTGTGTTCACTACAAGAACTCTATGAAAATCAACCTGCACAACCTTTAAGATAAATTAACTTTCTTCAGCTTTCTGGTTTTCAAATGTGTCTATTAAAGTACAATTTCACATTTTGAGAAATATACTTATTTGCTACCTACTTAAGCAGACTGTCACTTTTACACAACAAAATTTATTATGCAAATATGTCAGCTTTAGAGGTGCTGGTGGGTATAGTGTTTATTTTGTATAGACCTATGATGTTCCCTTCAGCTCCCACTCTTTATGCTAAGCCAACATTACCATGTCCTGACTCCATGTGCACAGACATGAAAGTGCTACTGATGCTTGCTGTGAATAAGCATATTTATTTTGAAATAATCCTTTAAACACCCAGCATAAGGTGCATCCATCCATCCAGTAGGAGTTCATTCAAACTAACTATCCTCAATGTACAATAGTAATTACATTATAAACTCCTGTTAACAGCAACACCGTGTTGTCCAGTAGGGGACATACTCTCTGTGGAGCTCAACATGTTGGTTGTCCACCAACTCTGTGTTGTGAATATCTAATAATAACAACCTTTCTAAACATACATAAAACATGCACACTGAAGAAGTGGAATTGTCTGTCGTCTGTACTGCCTGAGGTGAGTACTAAATATTACCTTGTAAATACTTTTTTAGATAATAATCTAATATTGTACAGTCACATGACATCTGGATCCCTGCACACAAGGATCCTGCTCATTCTGGGGACATATACATCTATTTACAGAGGAACAATTTGTGATACAACACAACAGCTGAACATTAGTATCCATGGTGACAGCTGTTTCCTGTTAATGGTGGAGGGTGGTGAGCGCATCCTGCATTTTTTCAGTTTATTTCTGCCCTTCTTCAGTGCAGATTATGGCTTCATATGAAGTGATATTCTTCTGTGAAGGGTTCATGAGGAGGGATGGCTTTGAGAAAGAGTCTTATTCCTATTCAGGGTTTGAATGCACACGTACACCCTTGACACATGTGGACTGAGCCCTTGTGAACTTCTGACATACAGTATGTACCGACATCATCTTGTCAAGTCTGTGAGGGAGGGGATAAACTTGAGTATGGAGATGAAATGATGAACTGAAATTTTTTACTACATAATCCATCTCACAGCATTTTTCTGACTAGGTAATAATGTACTGTACTGGCAGTGCAGGGTATATGGAGGGGCTGCTGTCATGCATAGTGTAGGAGATATTGCTGGTAGTAATGTCTTTTTTTTACTCTTTATTATTATTATTATTAATCCTTATTTTACATTGTCATCTCCATATTGCAATGCCCTTAAATGGATCATTTTTGAAAGTTAAAAGTAAAGATGGCCTGGTGATGTTTTTTGTTTTTCCCTTCATATTACAGCTGCACAGCACACAGCCTCTTTCCTCTAGATAAGTATAAAGGCTGTAGCATGACTTTATTTTCTTGTCTAGTAGCAGAGAAGAGCAGAATTACTGTGGATCTAGTGCATAATCTCCACAGGGGAGATGCAACAAGATATGAAAAATGGAAAATTGCCCCCCCCCCCAATATTGTCATGACCAGTCCTCAAGTGCCTAGTAAAGTTATAAGAAAACAGACGTTCTCTGTTCAAACATGTTAAACTGACTCCAACTGAATGTTCACTGAGCTGCTCCTGCTTCATGTTGGTTTACATGTCAACACATCAGCTGTGGGGCTCGTGACTGGTCAGCATGTGCCATGCTTCGCCCTGCTTGTGTCATGTAGACCTACAGCTGATCACTCACAGGTAAAACATTCTGTTTAAATCCCAGCAGCACTTAGGTTAAATGTAATGTCTGATTCTGCTGCTGATCATCACATCTGATGTTGGGGGCTGCTGTGTTAGTGGGTCATCCCCTAAATGGAAGGTTGGTGGTTTGATTCCCAGCTTTTCCAGTCCACATTTTGCAATGTCCTTGAGTAAGATGCTGAACCCTCAGTTGCTTATGGCGATATCACCAGTGTGTGAATAGGTGAATGGCCAAATAGTGTGAAAGTGCTTTGAGTGTGCTGCAATGCATAGATAATCAGACCTGGTCAGCAGTGCCACTTTCTCCAGATTTCTTTGTCAATCAAAACTGGTCATGGAGGTTCTGCCGTTGTCATCTGTGAAGAGCTTATACCATAACAAAATCCACAATATACCACAGTCTGTTGTCAGCTTAAAAGAGAGGCAGACAGTGAGTGAGTGAGTGGGTGAGTGAGAGGAGTCAGAACTGTGGACACAACAAGTGGTGTGTGTGTGTGTGCATGTAAAGTTGTTGTCAGTGAGAAGAAAGCAAAAGATTACAGGTGGTATCGGTGTATCGGTACTACGGAAAATTAATATTGAACTTTTCTAAATTTTTTTGAATTGGAAACCGGCAGTCTGAGAAATGAGCTTTATATTTATAATGGCCAGTCAAATCATCAAATTCAGATGTTTCTTTTCCCCTTCCAGGTTCTCCTTCCCTGGCTTGTGAGCACTCAGGAAGCCAACAGCAGAAGAATCTTGCCATGCTGAAGAGGACTGACAACTACCTGCCAGTCCCTGGTGGGGAAAAGAAGCCGGAGGTGAACTTTGTCAACACCAAAGCCAAGGGCGACGAGTCCATAGTAAGAAATTACATCTATGTCCAGGATTTACTCTCTTTCTGTATGAAGGTGTTATGATTTGTGTTACATTTCTACACTTACATTAACATGTACAGTATAAAGATGATTTGAAATATGTGGTACAGTCCTTTACTACCTTTTTGTGCAACACAGTTCGCACAGGTGTCACTTGGCTACGCCAACACTCATCCTGGACACAAGATGAACTGACCATTGTTTCAGTAAACAAAGCTAGTGCCAATTGTCTTTTTGCAAATGAAGTACAATTCCTCCTTTCCAGCTGTGATGTCATTTCAGTCAACAGCAACACAGAGGGAATGCACTGGAGAAAGTTTTTTTCTTTATTAATGTTACTTAACTGTGTCA